TAACCCAGCTTACGTTGGGCGTACCCACACACCTTCTACTTTTCATGCATGGTCCTTCCTTGACAACTTTTTCCATTAGGGACCATCATGCCAATAACTTCAAAGAGTCATATCTTCCTTACCCGAGGTCCGTTTCCAACGAACTTTATATCCACGAAAAGGTGGCGGGAAGCCTTGCGCTTCAAGCCACACCCCTAAGCCTAAAAACCTTCCGAATAAAACTCAAGACCCATAAAAGACCAAAACGCCCCTAGCATTGGCCTTTGAAAATCATAAGCGAATACTTTCAGAACAGGGTGTTACAACTCTCCCCCACTTAAACTAGACTTCGTCCTCGAAGTCCGCTACGACCAACTATCCTGCAATCTGCTCACACCATTACTGTCTGATGCATACATCACCTGCTGGGACCGATCCCCCAAGAACCACTTCCATTGACCTTCCGTCTGGTTTTTCCGCAAAATAATCCCTGAAGATAAGAACCTCGAGAGCACTTCTAATCACCAATAATCTTGAGAGCACGACTCTTACCCAACCGACAATCCTTTTGGTACTCCCCGAGTACTTATGTTGGACATCCTAGGGGTTCACCCCTTTCTCCTGCGCGTTCACTGGCCTTCCCCAGACAAATTTCCAAAAACAACAACCTTTCCTTTCTCTATGAAGGACATACCCTTTGTTGTATCTACATCTCCAGTCACTCCCAGTGTTGGTCACTTCACTGATACCCACTGAATGCTTCCTCTTACTATATCCTGGTGCTGAAAACCCATCCCAACGAGTGGATCAGATAATCCTTCGAGTGAAAGACTCATCCCTACAACGGTTAGACTCATACAAGAGCTGCGCCACAAAGTCAAATAACTCACTCTGAGATTATTTAATCCTGCTGTTAGCGGCTTATGACCTCTCAGTAAGCCAACTACTGCACGCACGAAGCCTCTTATCACTGTCTCTCATCCGCCTTCCGGATGACCCGGGACCACCCTGGTCCCAACTGATCTATCTATATATGGGTTACCGGACTCCCACCAGTTACTGCACCCAATCTCAAACTCTAAGTCGCTCCCAGCAACTTTTGAAGAAACTTCGGCTACCTAAAACTGCTCTACCTACGTTGCCACCCTCGCTCCCTAAGTCCTGGGATCCTCGATCCCCTATCTTGATCCTAAGGTCTCTACAAGGTCCCACCTGCGCTGCTATAATCACACGGGCCTCGCCCACAGGTCTCACCCAAACTATATCTTGGAGTGGCCTCCCCCATAGGTCTCACTTATCTAGGGCTATGCAGGACCAACTCCATCCTGAAACTCAACAACTATCCTTCCTCGATCTCTATCATGCTAACTAGGAGATACGGGCCTCGCCCACACTCCGCTAACTAGGAGATACGAGCCCTCGCCCACACTCCTTCAACTAGCTACTAACGAAGGCTATCCCGCAGTCTTACATCCTGACTCAACTTGCGCCCTGCCGAGGAAATCTCCAACCTAGTTCCCAAGCAGTCATCAACTATTGTGAATACACGAACTCAACGTCGGGAAGTTTTCCAAACTCCCGACTTCCACGCTGATCTATCCAGGCAGCCGCCCAGGCTGCTTCCCTTCTCATCAAGGATGCGAACACATACAAGTTGCGATCTTACCTCAGCTCCTGACTACTGGGTGATTCTCCCCCACTTTGATTCCACTAAATCCCTACAGCTCCCAGCTTGGAAAGGATTCCCAATCCTTCTCCCCATCTAAAGGGTCGATCTGTTGACAACCAACGCTTACCACTGCTAGTGCTCTAAAACCAACCAATACCAAATCTGAACCACTCTCGAAGACTAACATAACACCTCCCGAGCCCCACTCACACTTGCTACAGTGACCGCATCCTGAGAACCTGCTCCAAAGGGAAATATCTTCGAACTACTAATCTAACATCCATGATATGCAGATGACATATAACTCAATCGCAAGCATGTCACAAAATTCTGAAATAACCTTACCAATATCGATGCAGTACCATAACAATAAAATCATAAACAGAAGTTGAATTTGAAATACATACCAACGATCTATTGCAGCTCGATCTTGACTTCCTGCGGAACCATGGGCGTTGGAACTTGAACTCCCTCTCTCTGCCGAAGTATCTGTGATGAAACCTGAACTGCCTTAACCGCTATACGGGGGCAATTTGCTCTGAAATGACTATGCTGATGGCAACGGAGACACAATTCTTCATTCGATGTGCATTCTCGGCAGAGATGACCCTTCCGTCCGCACCTACCACACTGCGACCTGATGTGCACATTCTCATGTACCCCTTTACCCCTTGCACATCCACTACGACCACTCGGGTCTCTGGCGTCAACTATGGCAGCGTCCGACTGCACAGATCGTTGAGCCTGACTAGAAGTCCGCTTCCTCTTCCCTAACTGCACATCCAAACCAAACTCTTGCTCCCGAGTTACCTCGACTACCCCATCAACCGCCTGAACAACCCCTGATTGACCCTGAAACCTAGCGGTTACCCTATCAGTAACACGCTCAATAATGTCGGGTAACTCCTCGCGTACGGCTCTCAAAACCTCCACAACGATCCGATTGTATAGTGGACTCTCCTAGAGACAAGGTACGTAACCCACCTCCGATCCCTGATGACAAGAGCTGACAACGGGACCCTCCCTGCTGAGGCATCCCAGAGATCCATAAAAATTGGGTCTCAGAGGAACCTTAACTGCCCCGTAGCGATCTCGGCCCGGAAGGCCTTAAGGCGGCTATCCAAAAGCTCCAAAATCCCCTCCTTGACTGTACCGAAGATCAAAGGAGTCTGGTCCAGTTTACTGCACGTAATCTCGGCTAAAATAAACTCTTGCATCTGCTCCCTGAGCTGCTCGGCTCTTGCACCCGAGCCTGATCCCTCACCTGCACCAGAACTGCCCACTGGCCTACCTCGTAGCGTCACCATGCTGCAAGCATACCATAACTACCATCAGAATACTCCTCACTATTGAGGGATCTCACGCACTCACTACAAGTTCCCTGGTCTTATCTCAACCCTTCTTGAATCGAGTACGGATCCTCTGCTTTCAGTAGTACGGGCCCATACGACTCCACCATGTCCCTTGCACTACTACTATTGCTCCCAACACTAATCTCATCCTAGGCTTACCCTAGGGAAATCTATAACCCAACCCAGTCCTCAACTACTGAAGGTATCTTTGTAATGCCACTTAGCCACTACCTGAATACCATCACTTGTGCCGAGGCTTAGATAAATGATTTTACGAAAATTTTGGACTATATTTTTGGGATGTTTCAACTGTTTTCTTATTTTTGTACAAAAATAAGTATTTTAGAAACATAAATTCCAAATAAATACTTCTAGTGGTCAATAAACAATGAGAAAATTGTTGGATGATATATACCGAGAATAAACACTCCATGTAGAATAAAAGTTCATTTGGATATTGTTTAGTAATTACTTCGAGTTTCTTAAATTCAAACATGGGTAATTTATAAAATCAGGTTCTGCTATTTCAATTGAAGTTTTAGTATTTTTTCCAACTTAATGACACTGTAAAACAAATATAAAAATAATTTGATAATTTTTCATGAACGTTTTCTTATTTTTCATGATTTAATGAATATTTAATGAATTAAACGTTGAAAAAATAGCTAGACTTGTACAAAAATTAAAAAAATTACATGGAGCATCATGACTACTGTTAGAACCAGAAAATAAAGTTTGATAATCTTTGGAACTGTTTTGGATGTATTTTTGAAATTGGTTGTATTTCATAAATTAGTTACAATCTATACGAAATCTAATAGTATAATAACCTTGACATTTTTTAAAATAGGTATTTAGTAAATTTAGCATTAAAATTAATCAAGAAACTCTTTAGTGTAAATTGTTATCATAGGACGTCAGTAGTAGAACGAGTGTAATCACTTAGTACAAGTCATCGCTTTTATCACCACAATCACCACCATGAGTATTCACTAATGTATGTTGTAATTAGTTTAAGAAACAAAAACAAATTTTTTAGTTGTGATTTAAAATTTATAAACAACTACTAATAAGTAATATTATAGTTTAATATATTGTAGATAAAAAACTATTGAGAGAAAATGCATATTAATGTTTTTATTAGTCGGACATTTTGGAACCTATTTGAAAAAACAAATTACAAAATTAATAAATAATTATAGATATATTAAATAAATAATAAATTGTTATTTTTTTTTTGGATTATTCGGTTTTTATTTTATAAACCAAAACCAATCCGAAATCCAAAATAATAATTCGGTTTTGTTGAAAAACCAATCAAAAAATTTGAATATCCGAACACAATAGTCTAAGCATAATTGTCTAATTGTGTTAAGCAATGCTTGGATTTGCATTATTAGGAGTTGAATGTTTATATGTTTTGTGGATACGATGATTTGTTTTTAGGGGTGGGGGGGGGGGGGGGGGGGGGGGGGATTGGGTTGTGTGTTCTCCTTTCGGTGTAATTATTCCATGAATATTTGAAGATTACAGGACATCATCAGTAACAATTAGCAACATTCTTAGGTAGGCAATATCATCACATCGCGGTTTGTAATCCGTTACAAATATATCAAATCAATGTTCCAATTGTATAATTAAGAATATAAATTGTTTTATTGTCAACGATATAATATACGGGTTATTACCTATTAAAGTGATAAAAAAAACCGTTAAAAAAGTGGCGACTTTAATGTTTTATTGTATTATCTTCCAAATTAATATGAAAAAATCATATTTGTAAAACGGAAAATAATGTTTTTTAATTACAGTTTAGACGGTTTACTCACTTGCCACGTCATCAATCCCCGTGAACCCTTTTCAACCAATAGAAATCAAGATAGCATCGCTATAAATCTAATCAGTCGGTTCACATTTCTATCACCAATAATTTGTCAATTTTGACCTAATATCTCCTTGCGTATCTCAAATTCTCCGATTTCACTTGCCATATGGCGCCAATGAAGAAGACGGCCGAGAAGAAGCCATCGACAGCAGATAAGAAGCCATTGAAGGCCGAGAAGAAGCTTCCTAAAGAAGGCGTGTCTAGTGCCGGCATAGAGAAGAAGAAGAAGAAGAGCAAGAAGAGCGTCGAGACATACAAGATCTACCTGTTCAAGGTTTTGAAACAGGTTCATCCTGACATCGGTATCTCTGGAAAAGCCATGGGGATCATGAATAGTTTTATCAGCGACATCTTCGAGAAGCTCGCTCAGGAATCGTCTCGTCTCGCTCGTTACAATAAGAAACCAACAATCACATCTCGTGAGATTCAGACTGCTGTTAGGTTAGTATTGCCTGGTGAGTTATCGAAGCACGCCGTCTCCGAGGGCACAAAAGCCGTTACCAAATTCACTAGCTCTTAGATCTGTTATTAGAAAGCGAGAGAACGATTGTACTTTGATAATGTGCTCAAGGTTTACTTAAAAGTTTGAAATATGTTACAGAAATCGAATTGATTTTTGATGATCTGGATCTCGACTCTAGAGTCAAAATTTTAGGTTAAGTTTGATATTTCTGAATTAGATTTTTCATTTTGTTCTGATTGATAGATCATATAAGAAAAGAGTTTACAGATTTAACACATTTGCAAAGCAAACTCATCATAACTAAACTAAACATAAATATAAAATAAAGTTTAAAACTCTAAAATCCTTAACTAATCTATAATGAATAATCATGCGAAATGATATCGCCATGGATGGTAACAGTAAATAAAGTTTGTCGAATCTGTATGCGATCATAAAAAACGATTCGATTCAATGTTTGCAAGTGTCAAAGCTTCCCAACCACACAACATCATTATTCTAGACCCTGTAAACATGAAGTCAAAATGGAAGAAAATTCTTCTCCATACTTTGATAAGATATGAATTAGAAATGGCGTTGTTTAGATGTAATACCTAGTGGACCCAACATTCATATTACGATGGAGTATCCGACCCGATCCTGCATCCTCACTTGATTCAATCAGCTCCTTTAACCCGGAATTCACCACCTTGTCTTCCTCAGCCTTCACTTTCATCTTCTTGGGCACAACTCTCAACTTCTCGAAGTAATTCCCATAGATATACTCTGGGTTATAATTATACCCATTTTCTTCATCAAATAACATGATGTGACCATGCCATTCCCACACTCGATACTCCGAACCGGGTTCCACATGATACCCGATGCAAATATGATGCTCTCCGATCCTAACAGCTTCACCCGAATTCGGTTTTAGGGATTCCTCCGTGTCTCCACTAAGAATGATCTTAATCACCTCATCTTCCAGCTTTGATTCTTCTTTCGCGAGCTGGGTTTTGCCGCTGTTGTCGTTTCCATCTTCTTCATCGTCGGTATCAGGTAGGTTGTTTATTGCATCAAATAGGAGGGATTCTAGGGTTTGGTTTACAGATGGCGATGATTGGTGTTGAAGAGGGTTTGGTGGACGGACTTGAAGCCAACCCATTAGGGTTTGAAGGAGGAGATTTTCGAAATTTTGGTGGGTTTGAGTATGAACTCATCTTGATTCCCCTGAGGGTTTATGAAAATTTTAGAGCTAGAATGAAAGAGATGATAGTCGAAGAATCGGAGGGGAAAAAATAAACCAGGTAAACCCTTTAGAAAATGGGTTTAAACTTCATTGGTTTGGAAGAATGCAAATTAATATAAGAGTGATTATTTAAGACAAAACTGTAAAAATGGTCCCTGTGGTATGCAAATTTTTGGGGTTTTAGTTCGAACCCCGAGTTTTTTGGATTCATGGTTCTTTTGGAGTGGTTTGTATGTGAAAATAGTCCCTCCGAAAATTGGAATGACTATAATACCCTTGGGGTATTTATTTTTCATTTTTCATTCATTTTTCTTAAAATTTAATATTTATTTATTTATTTTAACAATTAAAAAAATAAAAAGGGGCCCACCTCTCTCTCTCTCTCTCTCTCTCTCTCTCTCTCTCCACGACTTCATTCCTACTAGGCACAATCCCAAGTTCATCTTCTCTAGCCGGAGGAAAATCCTAATCGCGATCTTCACTAGTGTTCAGGGAGACCAAAATTACCCAGCTTCATCACCATCTTAACCACCAAAAATCACCACCTGGTCCACCATCATCGCCATCTTCACCACAGTTTTAAGCTAGCAAACATCATCCAATCATCAAGTTCACCTTATAGTACTCATCAATTATTCACCATGTCCATATGGGATTTCACTAAAGAAATTGTGTTGATTCTATGTTTAATTGCATAAGGCTAACAAGTAACAACAAGAACTGAAACCCCAAATGAGTTCAGTTATTCTTGATTATCAAAGACATGTTCTTGATTTCCTGTAAATAGTGAGTTCATAAATGATTTAAACCTCCCTAAATGCGATTTCCTGTTGTTTGGGGTTGCAAACGAACAAAAACCCCATAAGAACCTATTACTCCTCTTTTACAAACGAATGGCATAATTAGAAAAGCACAAAACACATCCCTCTTCTTTGCATCAAATGTCTTGTTTGCATGTTCTTTCTAATAGCCTAAGAACTCCATAACACTAAAGAGATATCTCTCTACCTTGATTTCTGATTTGTGGGTTGAAGTCAAGAACAGGGGATGTAGATGGTAGTGACGACCATCCCAAAATCAGGAAATCTAAAATAAAACCTAGAAAAACTGTCAACCAAAAACCCAGAAATCCTTTTCTTAGCAGCCCGTCGGTGCTTCCGACGAAGATTGGAGATGAGATGTTGGGGTTGAGTTCGGGTGGGATGAATCCCATCGGACCTTCTTTGGTGGGGACCTCCCCTGTCGCCGCAACCTTGATGGTGGTGGTTTTGTATGGTTTGACGTTGTTGAAGGAGATGGGTTACGATTGTTTCCATGGGGAGGTTTGATTGGGGATTACGAGTGCAAAGAGGGAAGCTTGGGTAGTCATGCCTGTGGATAATTGGAACCAAGAAGATGAAGAAATGGGGAAATATTTTTCATACAGTAGAATACACACTCAAAGAGAGAGAGAGAGAGAGAGAGAGAGAGAGAGAGAGAGGTGGGCCCCTTTTTATTTTTTTAGTTGTTAAAATAAATAAATAAATATTAAATTTTAAGAAAAATGAAAAATAAATACCCCAAGGGTATTATAGTCATTTCAATTTTCGGAGGGACCATTTTCACATACAAAGCACTCCAAAAGGACCATGAATCAAAAAAACTTGGGGTTTGGACTAAAACCCCAAAAATTTGCATAGGACCATTTTTGCAATTTTGTCATTATTTAATATGTGTAATAGGGGTGAACAAATGGGCACCTAGCCCAGCCCAGTCAAACCCAAACCATCCCTGAAAAACTAGCCCGTTAAGGCTTGTGAGTTTTTCCCATTACCTAAAAGCACAGTCTATTTGGGGGAAAAAATTGTACGTTTTTTATATTGCGTTTAAGTACTCGATTAAATACACCACGATTTAAAACAATAAATCAATAATATGTATAAATGCAAATTTTATTAATAAACAAAAATATACATCATCACAATGTCTTAAAAATATCATATTCCGTTGTATTGTAAACAAACCAATACATCTTAGACATTGCGTCCATTGCTTGTCATCTACATCTTTGAGGTGCTAAAAAATCTTCCAAATTGACGCCTTTACGTTTCCTTTGCTAAGAACTTCAAGCCCGATTGAATATCACTTAGTGAAGCCATTTTTTTCATAATCGAGTTTAGATTGCAAATATAATTATAGAGAATTTATAGAGAATTACTACTATAGAGATGAAGTATGGAATTAAACCGAACACAATACATCTATTTATACTTGAAAATATATGTAAAAAACACCAAACATAATATGTCAAACACCCATAGTCCGAAATAAAGCTAATAAAGCTCATAAATAAACAAATTTGATTAAAATGCAAAGTAGTATTACTTATCAGTATTTGATATAGGGACCAACTGATAATCTAATATAACACAAAAAGTTAAATTCATTTATTCTTTTGCAATAATATTTGGCCTAAAGAAACTGATAAATCAAAGTAAATAACCCAACACAAATTAAAACGGAGCTTATTCAATTTGGTTACAATCAATTTAAAATAATTAAAAAACAAATTAAATCAAATCGAAAACCGTAACAATTTTTGACTTTTTTTTTAATATTTCAGGAGTAACTATATCAAACTAGAAAATGTAAATCTCCGCTTCGTCGGGGACGCATACAAGGTTTTGCGTACATAATTACAAGGACTGTTTAAAAAAAAACCCTTACACGGACCATTTTCGTAATTCATTTTCTATGTAGGGATAAAAGCTCACTTTTATAATTTTTTTTATTAGGAAGGGGCATTTATATAATTTTTTAACATATACACCATTCCTATATATATAAAATTATGCACTAGGACCTATTATGTAAATTACAAGGACCATTTTTTTAATTTATTTTCTATATAGGGACCAAACATGTGAAACCTACAAACTACAAAGATACAAAAGGTAAAAGATGAAAATGTCGGTGTTCAAAATTAAGGAGGTAAAAGTGATATTTTACAAAGTAAGAGATATAAAGTGGCAAAAGTTTAAAAACATAAAACTTTACTATTCATATCAACTTTTGTTTTAAGCCAAACTGTAAAATTAACAAAATTTTAAGGCAAAATATAACTCTAGAAGTAGGTAAGGGACCAAAAGTGTAAGATTTACTATTCTCTCTCTCTCTAAATTAAAAAAATAACAAGGTGCTTTCATTTATTTGTTTATTACAAAATTGTAATTTCAATTTTTAGGCTGTTCCTACCTCAAAGGGTCAGACACTTGCAAACGAGTATAGAATTAAGCCTTTGTAAGATTGTTTCTAATTTAAAATATAACAAAGTGCAAAAACGAATATGAATGTGGATGAGGTGTTTTTCTCTATAGCTAGGGATATAAAGCAAAGACTTGCTGAAACTGATACAAAGGCTGATGTATGTTGTTATTTGTCAATTTAACTTCATATTTTTTTATATGAAATTGACTTTATTATTTTATAATTACAACCACAGACAATTAAGATTAATCAACAAGGACAGGGTGCAGGGTCTTATGAAAGTGCTCAAAAATCAGGGCGTTGTGGATCCTAATAATTGAAAAAAGGTTAGCCACATTGACAAAAGAAGAATGTCGATAGGGTGATTCCATACTAATCTTGCTATGACAGTATTAAGGTTGATTATATTTTTGTCAGCATTCTAAATTTTTTATTTACTAAGTTGTGTTTCAAAACTTGGTTCCTATTGTGAGAAATCAATCAAATCATGTTATGTCATTTTTCTAATGTTCATGTATTGTTTCTTGCTTTGGGTATGCAAAGTTTTAGTTGCTGTGTTACATCCATAAAGGATAAAACCAACATTTTATTTTATTTGGTGTGGATTAAATTTATTTCGACAAAATTACACGGTTGGTCCCTACGGTTTGCCAGACTAGCTGCTTGAGGACAACTATAAAACTTATACGCACTTGTCCTTTTGGTTTCAGTTTCTTAGGTGGTTGGTCCTTGTGGTTTCATTTTGTTACAAAAGTGATTTATTATCATTTTTTTTATTTCTTTTTAATTTAACTTCATATTTATAAAAAATAGAAATTTAAATTAAAACCCATTACATCTACCCACCAACCCCACCTCTTTAATGCCAAAATTACTATATAAACAAATCAATCAAATTACAAAATTAGAAACCTAGAAACTAATTACATGCTCGAGAAACTACACATCCGTTTCTGGATCTGTTCGGGAAGATGAACACTTTCGATTTTTTGATATGTTCATATTTTTTATGCAGTTAGTTAGGCTATGTTTGGATATGTGATTGTTGTAACGCCCGCAGATTCAGACTAGTCAATTTAGAGACAATAATCGTCAAAAATGACTTTTTTTATAGAAGATTATTTAGAATAAATAATCTTGACTAAGTTATAGTATATGTCACAAGGGTTTCGTACATATAAAGAACGCTGAAATCCGAGTTATAACGAAGAAGTTATGACCCGTCGAAGTTTCGCGACAAAATCGACACGACGCTGTGTGACGTAAAAAGTAAGTTTGCAATAAAATACTTTTTAGGTGGGGTATTTCTCTGTTTTGGGTTGAGGACCATTGGGGACCGTAGCGGAGTCGGGCCTGTATAGCTCTAGAAGGGTAGGATCCGTGAGCGACGCTGTTCCGTGGTATAGTTGGGTGGGACCCGTGGGCGAGGCCCGTGTGAGTTTGGCAATTCAGGTGGGACCTGGTCGAGACCGTGGGGTCAAGGATTTAGATCTTGAGTCACAGAATCAGGTGGGTGGTTAGTGTGTGACGCAGAGAGGTTTATAGGCCGGGTAGCCTTGTTATTTGGACTCGTGGGAACCTGGTAGTTGGACCAAGTGCGAGACTGGTAGTCTCAATGTTGGTTTAGGAACCTTTATATCTCGGCCTAACAAGGGTTGTCGTTATCAGAAGGTCTTGGGTGAAATGCAAGTGCAGATCTGCGACTCTCGGGTTATGAGATGAGTATTAGGTTGGTTTTTGGGTAAGATCTCGTGTCGTGTCACAACTAGCATTTTAGCTAGGAAATTCTAGTCTCATGTAAACATCCTCTACTGTGATACTTG